AACACAGCAAGTTAAATGAAGCCTCAGTTGCTAAACTCATTCTTATGGAATCGCTCTAATACAACAACGGTGACCATAAAGCGGTCTCAAAAAATGGTGCTATCTAGTTTGAACAAACCTTTTGTTTAATCTTGTGTTGAACCATACTTATCTGATGAATAACGTATATCCGGCAGCTATGAAACAGGCGGCAGAAACGAAGGAATGCAGACGTACGCCGATGACCGCAGCCTGGAAACCCCATATCGAACAGAACATACAGAGCAGACTTTATGCGGGTGTAGAACGTTACTCCTGTCAATCAGTCTGGAAGCTTGGCGAAATGGTACTAGCGGGAGACGGGCATGAGAATCGTAGGCCGCCGCTGCGCGGCGATGGGCGCGGCGTTCTCTTCACTCGTGAGCTCCGGACTTCATGCAGACCCATCATCGTAGACATTCATGACTATTTTCGGTTCTGAATTGCCTGTTGTCGCCATCTACTACCTGGAACCATCGTCATTTGCGGGCGCGACGCCCACCAGCGCGGCGAATTACGATTCTCTTGTCACATACCCGTACTAGCGTCATTCAAACGCCAATTCTCATTTTTCGTAAAAATCTTGGCTAGCCATCGTGCAAATTTGAGGGGAGCTACAAGGTGGTTGTCAGGTGATGACAGGCTGACAACCACCTTGTAGCTCCCCTCAAAGGCTAGCGGACTGTTGACGAGGTTGTCTGTATTCACGTACATACCGTTTATAGGACCTAGTATGCTAACAAGCGCTTACAGGTGAGCTCCCTCCCCCCCCCCCCAATGTTATTAAAGCTTATCCACGTTGCAGCGACGCAGGGAGACGACTTCACATTTACAGTACTCGTACCAGAATCCAGTTGATCTTAGGTGAAAACGCTGCAGCAGGTCGGGTCAACTAGCTAGAAAATACCCTGCATGTGCGCGTCTCCGCAACATGGATGTAACGCCCAGTGTAGCATAAGGAAAATTGAAAAGGAACCACAACAAAAACCCAGAATGAATGAAATCACCACCTTGTAGAAAATTCCAAAGAATCCTTTCTTCTCTGAAAGCAACCAACTGTTTATCCGAGGCACTCGTTTAAGATAGGCGCAGGAACAGATGATTAGAAGAGCTACAACAACCAGACCGTCCAAAGAATACGCTGAAAAGAACAGCATATCACCGAACTTACACCACAACTATAAGATGGTCCTGGGAATCGAAGCACCACAAAAATCCAAATATGAAAAAGGGAAGTACACTCACCGTTCATAAAATTCCAGTAGAATCGGTCACACCAGCGCCTTGACTATGAAAACAGAGCATGATTTGAACAAAAAAATCATACAAAAGGATGGAACGAGACTGTATAAAGGTCAATGTATGAATGGCAAAAACCATGCCTCCGCAAAAGTTTAGCAATCAAAGCACCTTTTATTAATTTTGGCTTTTCTTTTCACAGAATGTGAGATCAACTACAACTGGGAATGAAAGGTATCACAGCAATAAAGAAATCTACAAAATATCTAAATCTGTCAAAAATCACAATCACTATCGAATGAAAAAGTGAAAAAAGAGTGAAAAAGTGGGATGAAAAAGGAAATAACACGACTGACAAATGCCATGATGTAGCTTCAACTCGGCAAAAGAAGCGCTCAAAGCGTCTCACAACTCATAATTCCGAAATCTTCTTATTACATCCGACTGATGCCTACCAGATTCCCATCTCAGTGGAGATTTCGTTTCTGGTTCCATAGATTTTTCTTGCGTTCCCGCTGACGACGACGATATCATTGGTGTTTCTTTAGGTGTAATCCAGTGCATTGACTAAAACCAAACCTTAGAACTAATTCAGCTTGAAGAGTTCCTTCTTAGTAAGGTGTAGAAATATTTATGACATATATACTAGTTAAACTCCTGTCAGTACAACAGCATATCTTTGTTGCTCATCCCCTTATGAAAAGAAAAAGGAATCTCTATCCACAGCCCCACCCCCGCCCATCACACTAGACCGACATGGAAATCGCAATCTATCGCGTCACCGCGCGCGAGGTACTGTGGAGCGATGCGCGGTAAATTCGTGATGAGCCAGTTGTCTCCACCGTTTTTAAATAAAATTCAAAAGGCCGGGCAAGACACCCGTCTGTCTGGTGCGGTGTCTGCTCGCCACGCCCACCAGCGCGGCATTTAACGACTGTCCTGTCCCAGACCCCCCCACCTCAATAAAAGCACATACCATGCGGTCGCCAGAGGGTGAAACGGACCGTCAACCAGAGTCAGAAGTATCCCTTTCATTTAGTTGAATTTTGTCGGCGTGTAGCAGCTGTTCCACGCGCGCTAATCTGTTGGTTGCTGTATCGCTATTTCCGATAGAGGATCGTATTTCGATTTGCTCGCTTCGGAGCGCTCTACGACTGTCAGGGCTCGTATCTAGACACTCGTTGTAAAGGAGTTTCGTATCAGTGACGACGTTTCTCACATCCTCGGGTTCCTCCCAGCCCCCAGTTTGGGTTTAGTGAATCATGGCGTAGGATCGTGAACAATCTAAGTTGCATAGATTTACACTGCATATCCCGAGGATGAAGTGGGCGTGGCCGCGCATTCCATTTGAACACGTGTTTCTGATGTTTCTATTTGTGACAACGACCATCCTGTTTTGTGCTGATAGCCACGCCTACTTTAGCTCTGGGATCTGGACTGTGTAAGAGGCGCAAGAGGTTGCAAAAAAGGAGGAAAAAGCAAGGTAGCAAGGAAGCGCTGCGAAACAGATTAATATTTCATGCCCGTTCATTGGAAACTGTCAATGTACTGTTTCAATCTGAATAAACACCATAAAAAATGAAAAATGTACCATTTTCACAGCGTCTCTGTTTCTCTTGAACTCTTCATAGCTGAGAGGAAGCAAAGAGTCTAGCCATGTGTCGTAACAGCGGCGTTCATCCTCATCAGACAATGTGTCGTAGGCCGACTTAAATGACAAGAAAAATCATAAATTCCTCACAAACCAAAAACAGAAAT